GGGGGGGGGGGGGGGGGAGACATGCCTGTCTGCAAAGGGAACTAAGCAGAAAACCTCTCTCTCTGCCCCTGCTTGAAGAAAAAGAAAAAAAAAATCTACCAGAGGCTATTAAGTATGTCTGCTCCCTTCAGGGGTTGAGGTTCAGATTTTCATTACTCTAGAGACCTGAGAATCCCTGGGCTGAGGAATTAAGATGATTCTAGGCTTATAGTATCTCCAAGTGTCTGGCAGAAGCAAAAATGCAAATCCTCTAGAGAAAAATACCAAAATAATCATAATATTGCATACCAAAGAATTATAAACTATTCAAAAAAGTTACTGAACAGCCAATGAAATGAGTCACTCTAAGCAAGAGTCAGCAGATGAATAAACAATCAATTTAGACCCCTGGGACTTCAGATGTTGTTGTTATCAGATAGATAATATGAAGTAACTGAAACCTCAAGAAAAGAAATTGGCAAAAAGTATGAGACTAAAAATAACTAGGCAGACAGCCCTCCCGGAGCCTGTAATCTGGGAGAGACAAAGCAATAATCAAGCTCAAATAAAAATAAAACTAGGCAGATTTGAAAATAGAATTCTGGAAATGGCAATCACTGAAATAAATACTGGGTGCACTATTCATCGCACAGCAGATTCGATGAACCTGAAAATGAGTGAAGCATTACTACATGATTCTTTTTCAAAGACAAAGAGATGGAAAATAGGTTATTCCTTCTGGAAGGTAAGTTGCTAGGGGAAAAGCCTTTCAAATTTTACCAAATATGGAGTCACCGAGCCTGGTGAGCAGTGTTTCTCAGTAGGAAGAGAAATAATTGGCCGCAGGTGATAAAATTTCAGAATGAGCAAACATGCATCAATCTAAACCCATCTGGCCCATCTGTGCTTATTCCTAACTGCTGGAATTTCAGGGTTCTGAGTTGGGGTATCCAAATCCTCCCTCTGAAGGTTGGGGAAACCAACCACAAACCAACACCCCATTCCCCAGGACAGCTTCAGGCTTCATTGCCTGGTGGCGGGTGCCCTCTTGTGGACAATGCCAGACATGCCCCCTTTCCAGCCTTCCATCCGCAAGCCAGACTCCTATCCAGGGCACACACCCCAGCAACTTTTCCTTTCTCCTTCGTACACCTTTCCTGAGCCTTTGTACACCTTTCTGCCCCACAGGTTTAGCTAACATCTCTGGGTGCCTTCCTAGGAAGTTCCATAAATGATCAGGCCTTGGCTCCACCACCATCTACCTTCTGAGGGCTGGGAGCTGGATAGCCCCCACCAGAGCCTGTGCTGTGCTCCCACGGCTCTTTCTTGTTGCCCCTTCTGCCATCCTGCAGCCCCAGGGTGTAGCCTCACTCTTCCCTTTGTTAGAGCTACCACTGTCCTCCAGTTCTGTGCGGGTTTCCATCATCAGGATACCCAAGATCTCTCCTAGCGCTATTCACGCTAGACAGCAAACAGCTGTTGGTGCCAGGGAATAGATCCAGCTGTGTGACCCGGAGCAAGGTACTTGCTCATGGAGCTTCTATGTTTCTTCACCTGTAAACTGGGGATGCGAGTGATGCCTATACCATCGGGCTGTTGTGAAATGTGATCAGATGGGAGTCACCCTAGCACCCAGGAAGCCCTGTAAACAGAGGCTGCCAGTCAATCTGCTTTTCTCTCTGCCAATGTGTGATTTCTGAGGATTCGTCTGTCCCAGCATCCTGCCTGGACCCTGGTCTTACTCAAGTAGTATTTGTTTTGAGAATGACTTCGTGAAGTCCCACCGAATTCTCAGTTCCTTTATTTCACCCCGTCAGAGGCTGTTAGGCGCACTAGGTGTTCATATTTCCCATGGAGAGCTGGAGGCCAGTGGCAGCCACCTAGACTCTCTATAGCACCTGGCCAGTCCCCACCCAGGACAGGTTTGAATGTGTGCAGGTGAGTCACTGGCCCAGATGGGAGGAAGGTGCAGAGGCAGGTGCAGGGCGTAGATGAAAGGGTCGAGAGTGGCAGCTAGCAGGAGCCACTTCGGTACTCTATCCTTGACCTGGGTGCTATCACCAACCTGGGACATTTCACCATCCCCAGCACCTGCCACAAAGCAGGTGTCGGTGGCTGTTGAAATGAGCTGCAGAGCCACCAAGAGCAGAGTATTGAGGGCAAGGCTTGAGAAAGATAACCCAGACCTGATGGCTTTGACCTGCTATATAAAGAAAGGCTAAGATGATGTTTCTGTAGTGAGCAGGGGTGGGAGGGAGAACAAAGGCCAAGAGTAGGGGTGACTGAGGTCATGAATAGTCCAGCTCATCTGGAATGTTTTAGGAACAGGAGGCCGCACATACTGGGGGTGGGGGCTGATTATAAGGGCCTTGAATGCCGAGTCCAGAAATCAAACTTGACCTTGATACTGAAGGCAGTAGGGGGCCATTGCAGGGTCTTAGTCAAGGGGTGTGGTCAATGCTTTGAAAGCCCCTTCTGCTGTTCCATTATGGGGAATGGACTGTTAAGAGTGGCGTGGGGACAAGAAGCCCAATGAAGAGGTTGGCATAGTCTTCCAGGCCAGAGATGGTGGCCAAGACTTGGGGGTAGGGGGATGGCAAGATGGAGATGGGGGCTTGCGAGAGTAAAGCAGTCCAGCCCCCAACCCACCCACCCAGAAACTCCCATCTGGCAGCCTCCTGGCTCACTCCCTCTGGTCTGGCCCCCCTGGCTTGCCTCCAATCCCTTACCCTCCAAGATCCACCTTCTGCTCCCTCTGCTGTATTCCCACTGCCTATCTGCCTGAACATCTGTCTGGAGACCCCTACTAATCTCTCACAGCTCAAAGCAAACATCACCATCTTCAAGAGGCCTTCCCTGACCCTCCCCAGCCCCTCCAAGCCTTCAGCAAGGGAGGGAGGACACAGCCCTTTTTTTTTGTTTTTTAGGAGGTTGTTAATTTTTACAACTCCACTGCAGAGACCTGACCCTCCCCAGCCCCTCCAAGCCTTCAGCAAGGGAGGGAGGACACAGCCCTTTTTTTTTGTTTTTAAGGTGTTAATTTTTACAACTCCACTGCAGAGAGGCAGGCAAGGGTGCAGAATTTAAGGAGACCCTTGAGAGGTGTCAGCTTGAGGATTTCAGTATCTTTGTTCTAAGATGGCAATGGGAAGTTTGTTTTGTTTTGAGGATTTGCTGTTGCTTTTTTGTGGAAGGAGCGGGAAAATTAGAACACAGAACAGAAAGCACATTTATCCTAAGTGGGCTTCTTCTCTAACAAGGACACTGAAACCTCCTCAAGCCCACCCAGAGCTGTGGGCTCAGGTGCTGGCAGCAGTTTCTAGGAACATTCAGGAGTCTGGGAAGTTGGGTGGCAGGAGAGCAGCCTGGCATAGCGCTGGCCAAGGAGTCTCAACCCCTGCAGGGGTCACTGGGGAGAAACCTCAGGGAAAACCCTACCTGGAGTCCCAGTCTAGGTCATCTACCCTGAGCTGCCACCATCTGAGCTGTATTCCTGGCCATGCCCCTGTACCCAGCAAGGACCTGGCACCACTGGGGCATTCAAAACATTGGTGAAATGTCACTCAGCCACTGGCCAGTCACACCTGGCTTAAAGGCTACCACGGCTTCCTAGGATGAAGCACTTTCGAGGCCCTGCCACCTCCCCACCTTGGTTTCAGCCCATTTCCCCCTCCCCAGCTGCAGCCCACAGCTGGCTTCTTTCAGTTCAACGAGGCAAGTTCTCCTTCCCCTCAAAGCCTGACAACTCCTCACCCAGCACCCCCAGACAAGGTCAGAGGCCATCCTGTTCTTGTGGTGCCACATACCTCCTTTGAGAGCCCTCGTGTCGGTCACCACCCCCATGCCCGCCCCCCTCCCCCCAGATGGCTAGAAGGAAGGTTCCCCCAGAGGCTGGACAGACCAACTCGGCCTTTACTTCCCTGGAACTGCTATATGTCGGGTGGCCAGGGTGGCCTGGAAGGGGGTAGAGGGGGAGGTTCTGTCTGGGGACAGGTTTCACAGAACCCAACTATGCTATCTGGGACCCTGAGAAGGCTCTATGCTCAGTCCCCAACTCCATTGCATACCCTTTTGGCAAAGTGGGGGGTGAAGCTAGAGCCCCCAGCCAACTGTGGGCGGGGGTTGAAAGCACAGACCATATTCACTCCCAGAACCAGGGCTTGTGGGCGTGAGTGGGCCCTGAATTGAGGAGACCTGGGTCAGCGGCGATGAAGTGGCCACCGTCTAAGGCAGGGGAGCTTGAGATGGGAACGGGCTGATTTCTGAAGAAAGGCTTCCTGCCCTGAGTCTACGGTCAGAGATGCAAACCAGCCCCACAGTCCAGCTTTCTTGCCAAGGGAGACAAGAGGCGACACCAGAAGTGACCACTGCCTTTATTGTCTCTCTGCTGGGGTTGTGGGCTGGGGTTCAGGTTCAGAGGTATCTGGGGACAGCAGGTGACTCTAGACCCAAATTATTGCTACTGGGCAAGGTCACCTTGGGGCTTCCCATAGTGTCCTGAGTATGGGTGGGCATGGGCATGCAAATTATATGCAAATGACATGCAAACCAACCCAGGATCTTCCAGATGTCTCTGGTGCAGTGGAGGGTGCTGAAGAGTCAGAAGCTCGCAGCCCAGGAGGGTGGTGGGGATATCCCGGTCCGTCCCCACAGTGCAGAAGACCCAGCTCAGCCTCAGGGGTCAAGGTTTGGGGTGGGGATGGGGGTCCCTGAGCATCAGCCCTGGTCCTGTTGCTGGTTGAGGAAGAGCAGAACGTGGCCCCAAGATAGCAGGAGGAAAGCAGGCACCCACAGGGCAGCCAGACAGTCCAAGGCTCACGCGGAGAGGGAAGGGATCTGCCCTGGGTCATACAACAAGGCAGAGGCAGAGAGAACCAGAATCCAGGACTTCTAAGTCAGGTAGAGGCCAGAGTGCCTGAGACCAAAGCTACACACAGTAAAATACACTGATAAAGAAAGAAATAGAAAGCAAGCAGACCAGTCCCTGATCCCTGGACTGAGGACTCTCCACCAGCTGGTCTTGGAGGCCTCTGAGAGCCAGACCCCAGGTCTAGGATCAGCAGTATCCTTGGTCTTGGTGCTGAATTGACCGTCCAGAAGCTCCAGAAGGAGGCAGGCAGAGCCACAGGGTCCTTGACTAATGCAGGTCAGGATCAGTTATTATTCATAATCCACCAGGAGGCTGGGGGTCAGAGGTTGGGGGTCAGAGGCCATAAGGGGTACACTACCCCTCCTCAGGCCCCAAGGCTACAGAGAGGGTCGGGGCTTCAGCACACCTGGGAAGAACACAGTGGTGAGGGTTTCCGGAGCCCGCAGGTGGTCAATGAGGATGCGCTGGAAGGCCTTACTGCAGGCGGACTGCTGGTGCCTGGGGAGGGCCATGGAGTGGACTTGAGCTAGTTCCCCAAAGATCAATCCCACCCCAGTCCTGCTGCCTGGATTCAGGTCCCAGTCCTTCCTCATACTATCACTGAACCTTAGCTTTCTCTTCTGTGAAATGGGACAATAGTGTCTACTGTGCTAAATACTGTGAGGATTACATGAAGTAACACACAAGTGCTTGACATAGGATGTGACACAATGGTGACGGTGTATATTCATTGAGCATCTTCTATGTACCTGGCTGTGTTCAGTTCTTTACATATCATCTCATTCAGCTCAAATGAAGATGGAACTGTTATCACTCCCATTTTGGAAAGGAGGCCACTAGGGTGCAGAGGGGTTAAGTAATTCTTCTGGTCACACAGCCAGTGAATAGGAGAGGAGGATTTGAATCCAGGCCTGACTCACTCCAGGGCCCATACTCCATAAACATTAGTAGTTAGACCGCCATTCATACCTTCTCCAGGAGGCCTCATCCTGCCAGAACTCGTACAGGGTGAAGGAGGCATTGTCTAGCATCTTCTGAGCAGACACACTGTAGAGCCAAAGAGATGACCAGGCCAGGCCTGGGCTGCAACCATTGCTGCCCACCAGGCAGGGGTCTCTAATGGGAACCTTAGCCCAAAATGCTCAGCCCCTGTGTTCCTCCCTGCTCATTCCCCAACCTTGGCCGGCCCACCAGGAGGCTAGGAACTCACTGCAGGCAATGGCTCTGGGCCCCTGTGAAGTCCACATAGCAGCGCAGGGCACAGTAGAAGTCCTGCAGGGCTCCTTCTGCCACTTGAACCTGCCTCTGGGACACGAGGATATGCTGGCAAGAGAGGTGGCCCAGTCAGCTCGGGTAGGGCAGGTCACAGGTGACAAACTGGCTGTGGCCGCCAGGAGGACCCCGCCCTGCTTGACTTGCATCAGACCTGGCCTACCCTGAGGTCAGGCTCCTGCCCCAACCTGGCCCCAACATCCCTGACTCCATGCTCTTCTCCCCATCACCAAGGATGCTGCCTTGAACCAGTCATTGTCTCTCCTGCAGTATGCCACCACTTCTTACTGCCCCGTCCAACCTCCGTCCACACTGCCCCAGACTCAGAAATGCAGATAAGGGAAACTGATGCCCAGAGAGGGGTAGTGATCTCTGTGGAGTCACAGAGCAAGGACCAGAACCCAGCACCTGCCTGCCAGGCCTGGGGATGAGGGCTGGGCCGAAGCTGGGAAATCAGAGATGTGTGCAGGGCAGAGGCCCTGCTGCCTATCCCTTTCCCGGACTCACCGAGTTGGGTCCCTTGGTAAGCTCCTCTTCATGTAGGGGTTCCAGGAGGGGGGCCTGTGAGGGACAGAGTGTGAGTCAGGCACCCAGCATGTGCCTATCCTGGGCAGATTCCAGGAAGGTCCACCTCCGCGGAGCACTGGCCACTCAGCCGCTCACCTTGCACTCGAGTTGGTCGATGAGCTCCTGGAGACGGTTAACCTGGAGCCGCCACTGCCTCTCAGCCTCTGAACTCTGCCCTGGGGGTGGGGCCCATGGGGGAGTTCAGGCTGGGAGGTCTCTCAGGATAAACTGAGGGGCAGTGGAGGAGCAGGCATTGGGGACATGGCTCTGACCTCCTCAGCCAGCCCTCCCACCCACCACAGCACACCTGCGTCAGAGGAGCCAGGGGACCAGGTGGGTGACCGGCTGACGCTCCACAAGGCCCTGCGCCCTGCCCGCCGGCTGCCACGGGGCCTGCTCTGCACCTCCACTCTCTCTTCATCTGACCTAAGGGAGTGGAGGCTCAGTGCACTGCCGGCAGACCCTCAGGGCCAAGGACTAGGGCCCCCCAAAAGGACCAGGTTTGGGTGGGGCAAGACAGACATCTGGGGATATGGAGGCCCCAGCTTCACAGCCAGCCAGACTCTCACACCTTTTTGGCCTCCCTGCCCCAGAGCAAGTAGTCAGCTGAAACTACTCAATGCAACAAAAGCTGAGGGACTTGAAATGTGGAGATGATGGGTCTTCATGAACTGGACCCACAGGTCGGCAGGGCTCCTCACATACCATGGCCCATGGGTCTGGGCCTGGGCCTCCAGGGTATCTGACGCACCCTCCAGCGAGCTCTGCAGGGCTTGTAGCTGGCTCACCGTCTCCCGCAGTAGGAAGCGTGTCACAAACTGGTCCACCTTGGAGGCCCGCTCATACTCCTGGGGGCAGAGGGGACATAGTCAGCACCTCTGGACTCCAAGCATATATTTCTGAATGAGGAGCCATCCCTTGTTCCTGCCCCCTCCCCATCAGAGCAACAGTGGCAGCGTAAAGAGGGCCTGCAGACCTGGCATGAGCAGGAGGGCACAGGGACTAGGAGTAGGGCCTGGCCTCCCTCCCGGGGAAGTATGAGGCCAACTTATAAGGAGTTATCTGCCATTCTCTGGGCCCAAGGCCCCTTCCACATTGGGGCTACCACCTTCAGCCAGTGAGGCCCCTGCACAGTTAGGCTGGGGTCGGGGTTGCGGATAGGGCAGGTCATAGGATACCCAAAGACCTATTTTGACACAAGGCAAAATGATGGTGTGATATGGCCCCATACTCACCAGCTGGCCACAAAGTCACAGTCTATATATGCATGCATGCATGCATTCACTCATCCATGTAACATTTACTGAGTACCTTTTACTAGGAGCTGCAGACACAAGACAGCCAAGTTACTGTCATCACACACACACCACAGCACTGAGCCCAACCTATATAACCAGCCTCCTTTCGCCCCTCCTAAAAAGGGCAGAGAGAGGCAGACCATTTGCCAGGCCCTCAGGAGCCATGGTCCAGGTGCCTGCTCTCCCTCTCCGAGGGGCCCCAGAGGCACCATCCATCAGGGGCTTTGCCTCCTGCCCATAACCTGCCTCAGCTCAGCCATCAGGGGCCCTGCTGGACCAGGCTTATGCGGAGACTTAAGCAGAGAGGAGGCAAGGACAGAGGGGAGGATGGGTGCTCTCATTCTCAAACAGGCCAGTGGTTTCTGATCTCTCTCTAGACTTCTGTCCTACCCTAGACTTTCTGGCCATGCTCTGAGCTCTCTAAAATTCTTCCAATAAATTCCATTTGGGGCACTTAAAATGACTGGTCAGTTTCTGTTGCTTGCAACCAAAGAAACCAGCTGACACAAGCATCTACTCTGTGCCAGGCCCTGTTCCAAGCAGACTTTCATTTAACCCTCATAGCAATTAGAGACCATGACTGACCCCATTTGCAGATAAGAAGACTGGAGTCTAGAACAGTTGATTACCTTGGCCAAGATCTAGTTAGGAACAGAGCCAGAATTCAAACTTAGGCCACAGAAATTCCTCTGTACTCATCACTAAGCACCGTCATTATTGGACCAATAATGAAACATCGCCCATTTATGATCATTAGCCCTTTTACAGTTGAGAAACAAAGGCCAGAAATCACAGAGTGAATGGAGCCAAGATTCACCTGTGGGTTCTGAGATGCTCAGAGCCTGGAGCTGGTGAGGTCGACCAATGAGGTCACAAAGCGGCCTCTCTGGGACAATGCTAGGGCAGGGGTCCCCTAGCCAGAGGGCAGGGCAGAGCAGCATGGGCCGTGGGCCCCAGTGTTAACCAGTCCTGCCATGGGAAACAACAGTTCCCACAAAAGGACCAAAGTGTCCAAGCAGGTTGGCAAGGAGAGGCCACCCGATAGGGACAAGGCCTTGGGGAAACAGCAGTTCTTCAGCCACTTCAGGCAGAAGCCAGGCGTAAGTGGAGGGTGGGAGGGGGCAGGCGGGGATGCTGGGAGTCTAGGCCTTGTGGCCCAAAGTCCTAGGGCCATGGCCTATGAGGTTAGAGAATCCCTCCTGAGGATGAGGGTCCCAGAAACGCACGTGGGTATGGATGGGGCCCTAAAAGCCCAGCAGAGAGGGTAGGGATTCCAGGAGATGGATGAGACTTGGGAGTCAGAAGGGTGGGCAGGAGGGGATTCTCACAACCTGGATGGATGCATGGGCGGAGGTCCCAGCATGATTGGCATCGCTGGGAGATGAGCACCAAGAGTTTCCTTACGCCCCCTTTCCAACTCCTCGCCTCCAAACATGCTACCTTTCCCCTCAAGCGGGCAGACAGGGACCCCAGAACGGTGGACAGAGCAAGGTCTCAGGTCAGCCTGGGTGGGGAAGGGTTTCCGAGAGGCGGGGGTCCCTGGGGATGGGGCAGAGTGGGGATCCCCCTCCGGGGCATGGAAGGACGGCGGGGTCCCGGAAACGTAGAGGGCCTGGTCTTGGTAGATGGGCCCAGGGCGGGTAAGGGTCCCCAGGAAGAGGGCGGAGCACTCATTTCCCTCCCTGCTGCCCCATCCCCAGACCAAGATCCTGCTGCTTTTCCGCGGACG